CGTAATTATCCACAACTTACTTTTAGGGTGATTAATTTTCCATTCCTAACTTAGCTGTAGCGTTTTCATTTATACCTCGGCGCACCGACATAACTACTTAGTTTGCGGAAACTCGCTTATTTCTCATAAACATTGGGATGCAACCCTATAACGAAAACCCCAGAATTTTTCAACACCTTCCTGCTCCCGACTTATAAAATGAATAACGATCCAGCTTTGTTGGATTACTCACATCAACCGCTAGCATGTGGGCTTTCCGAGAGGTGGTAGAGTTGCACTAACGTACATGGCTGTTGCTTTCACTCGTAATAGAGTAAACTAAGCCCTCCATACCTTCAGGGTCGGCAAATTGGTACAGGACTTGTCTGAGAAGTTGGAAGCACCGACTTAGTATCTTAGTGAGGGCCACCTAAATACACCGGTACGCTCCAGGAATTCACTTTATGGACGAAAAAATACATTCAGGCCTCTCTACGAGGCTTAGTGGAGTGGAATACAAAGCGCATCCCTGAGAAATCTGTGAATGCTAAACGTTTTGATCCTTATCCTTCAGCGTTAATATTTTACCTGAAATGTCTATAGAATCTAATTCATCATCGTCGTACATATTGCCGACATCAATATGTGCTTCAATGTCCGAAATGTCAAATGACGACGAAATAATCGTGTCGTTCGATCCACGTCGTTCGTACACGCTCGATCTCTGAATGTCATTTAGATCGGCCTTTTTTGTTGATGCAAACCCGCTCTACAAAAAAAAAGATATATTTATTTATGTGATCTTATAAACTGATCTTCTTAAGCTGACGCGAGGTTGGTACAGATCTCCGTTGTCGTTGTCGTCGTTTTTGATGTTATTGATCGATGGCTGACGTTTCGGCGACAACGCCTTCCTCAGAGCCTGGACGTATTTTATGTTAGAATACTTTTTAAAAAAGTGCTTAAGAAAAAGTGGTCTTGAAAATTATGTAACGATTATTGACATCCCACCCAATACCCTACGCCGCCAGTTAGTTCGAAACCGTCTCTATGATCGTTTGTGCAGCTCAGAAAACTGTATGATCTGTCCTAACGGGAGAGACGGGGATTGCATGAGTTGAGGTATAATATACTTGATCTCATGTAATGCATGCGGCGAGGAATATATCGGAGAAACGGGTAGACCACTTTGTGTCCGCATGAAAGAATATCTAGGTGGGAAAGTTAAAATCAGTCTAAACACCCCTCTAGGTACGCATAGGGCACAAAAGCACAACGGCGATAATTTTGAAGTGAATGTGTGGATCCTAGCGCAGGAATCAAAAACATCAATGCGCAAAACTCTTCAGGAGTTTTGGATAAATTTCAAAAATCCAAAGATGAACCGGAAGGACGAATGCCTCACTATCACGCGTGACCTGGCACCCTATTTCAAAACGATATTTTGACCCCGGGGTGTGTCTTGCTCGCGACTCCACGTGAAATACGTGTGGGCCAGTCCCGCACGTAACATCACGGTGAGTGGCCTTTCTGTTCAATATGGCGTCTATTTGAAAGTTTGATCTTCATTAACACTTTAAGCTTCTTTTCTACCGAATAATAAAAAGTATTCTAACATAAAATACGTCCAGGCTCTGAGGAAGGCCAAGTCGCCGAAACGTCAACCATCGATCAATAACATCAAAAACAACGACAACAACAACGAAGATCTGTACCAACCTCGCGTCAGCTTAAGAAGATCAGTTTATAAGATCACATAAATAAATATATCAACTGTCTATGCCGAGGTTTATAGAAAGTCGGTCTTTCGAGTTATTAAAAAAAGATACCTTTGTTGTCTCACTATCTTTAAGAGTATGTTGATCAGACACATTCTGAAAAAAGAGTGCTCATTGCGAAAAGTTTTATGAATCACTGGTTTCTTGATGAACAAATACTTCCACTGAGTATGTTGCGTGAAGACCGACCGCACAGAATTCACATGGAAGCGTAATCTGCCCCTCCCATCAGAATAACAGGCTTATATACATACGTATAAACTTCATAGAAAGCGGTGAGTGTGCAGAGCTGTGCTAAATGTGATTGAAATCTTGGTTTAGCGTTTTCTCTGTTTGGTTATGGAGGTGTTTGGCCGAATGGATTGCTGTCACCTTGACCCTTCCAGGCTCTGAGGAAGGCGAAATCCGCCGAAACATCAGCTTGTGCGTAAATAAAGAAATAAAATAGCACCTCGTGTTTGCTGAACAGAAGTAGAAAGATATATTCAATCAATGCCGAGCTTAATAGAAAGTGGAACTTGGGAGTTACTCACAATTTTGTTCTCTGTAAGTCCTCCAGTTATTTGGTGGAAACTAGGCCCACAGATTCTTGCATCGCGAGAAGACATCTATGTTCATAAAATGTTTCCCTTTCTTTGAAGTTATGAAATGATCCCCTCTAACTTTTACCAGTAAGCGTGGCTGTTTTAAAGAGAAACACAGAAGATGAAATGCGTTGAATTGGGATTTCATTAGTTGGCATCCTGATTCTATTTTCCTTCGGTATGGTAGCAGTAAAGAGTGCGCGTGGCGCAGTGGTCAGAGGCGCCCTACAACACACACGTGTAATCGATTCCCACGCCCGTAGCTCACCAAGCCTTGCATCCCTCCGGAGTCGGCAAATTGGTACCGGATTTGCCTAGGAAGAAAGCAACACTGGTTCGATACATCGGTATACCACCGTGAGTCATTGCAAACGCCAGATATGCATTCAATTACCTCCAAACGATGCTTAATGAAGTCGAATGCATGACGCATTCCTCAGGAATTGATCAACGCCGAGAGCTTCATCCGTTATCCATGGTAGCAACAGGAAAACTTCAACGACATTTTCGGAAAGAACAGTTATCGATTGTAGTTTTTAGCCATTTTTATATAGTTATTATACAAAATAGGGTGACTATTTCTCAAATCCCATCATATTTAATATGACTGAACATACATTTTCGAACACTTTTTTAAAGACAGCATGTACGTCGTTGTTTTCCCCACGTTCAACATTTCCGAAACAAACGCTATTCCTCTTTAGAGTCATCTCCCTTTGACTTCGTGTTATCTGTTATAAAAAATAACAATCGTGCTTGCATTTAGTAATGAATGTTTGACTTTGCGAATATTTTAAGTGAAAAAACATTAATGCAAAAAAAATCTGCCAGTCTCACATCGATATTGAAATCCTGCACCATTTGTTGCCCAACGTTCACATTTAACTGCTGTTTTCGTGATTGCTCAATGATATTCGCCAAATGTCGAATTCGTTTCGTTCTGTAATATTTTGCTGTCTTCATCCTTAAATTTGCAACAGTATGCAAATCAAAGATGGGGAGCGTGTAGCGTAGTGATTAGAGGCGCCCTGTAATACACATAGGATCGATCTCGCGTCATAGGCTCACCAAGCTCTCCAATCCTCCGAGATCGGTAAATTGCTACTAGGCTTGTCTGAGAGGGTAGCAGCACCGACTCAATACACCGATAGGCCATCGAGAGTCAATGTAGTGGTCATATATGCATTCAATCACCTCTGAAGTCACTTGATGAAGTCGACTGCATGACGTATCCCTCAGTAATTGATCAACGTCGAAAAATTTACTCTTTTATTAATACAAATCATAGGCCGTATCGTAAAGTTTTTGTTAAACAGGAAGGCAAATAGAAGGACAATTCAATTGTCATTTTACTATCTAACGTCGGGTGCGCCATGTAGCGCAGCAGTTATAGGTGCCTTGCATTGCATATTGAATCTTTGGTTCGATCCTGCGCTTCGGCCTCAGCAAACCTTCTGCCTCTCCGGGTTCAGCAAATTGATATCAGCCTTATCTAGGAAGATAAGAGCCGTTGACTTGGTACATCGTTAAGCCATCAGAAGTCATTGAACAAGCCAGATATTCACCTAGCCACCTCTGCGATGCCACAAAATGGACTCAAATGCATCGCACATCCCTTACAGATTAATCAATACCAAAAACCTTACTGTTTTTTTTATCCTTCATTAAAGTGGGCATGCATCATGTTACATCGTTTTCGAGTCGTTGCTTAATCAGTTATAGGATTCGCTGTCTTTCCTGATGAATTCCATTCGCAAATCATCAAATAGTCCTTCATTTAACAACGGTAAATGAGTGTTTGTACTGAAAACTAGAAGGTTTTATAGCGGCTACTTTAAACCTCCAAAGGAACTAACGCTCACCCAGCACCGGTTATTGCAATCAAGAGAGAACATGAGAGATAATCTATTCGAAGGCGAACCACACCCGAATCAGTCCGAATATTTCCACGGATGACGGTTGAAACGTAACCAAAGAAATGAAAGCAGCTACATGATATGTGAAGAGAGGTCATTTAAATAATTCCAATTTTTTTACCCGACTGGTTTTTACACCTGCTGTGCGGATTGCATCACTTCTGGCACTCGATTCGCTTCCTCTTATCCACTATCCACGAAGATTTCCGAACTTTTTTGCGTTTAGTTTGGCTGCTGCTGAGGATTCTTCTTCTTTATGTCATTGAGTGATGGCCTAGTTGATTCTCCTTGGAGTCTTGGGATAACAGAGTTACAATATCCATACTTGGATTGCGAGTCATAAACTGTTCCCATACAAGTCTGACACCAATTTTCCAACCGCTGATGGATGACAGGCTTGGTGAGGCCAGTGCGGAGTCGAACCAGCACCGTGCTAGCAATGAACGGCATTACTGTCACTGCGCTACCTATCCTCATTCCAAGTGATTATACGAAACTATTTAATTAGTGCATTCCATGATGAAAATGGCCAATATTTGAAGAAAGAAAATTCGGTATCGACTAGGAACCTCCAAAAGGACTCCTTCTACGGTAATTTTTAATTTAGTAAATGAAAAGTGGTTTCAATAAAGTTCATCATCATGGTGCTGCAAAATCTTTGTTTTGTTGAGTTACCGGTTAGAAGCAAAAAATAGTCATAAAAGTTACGATCAATAAACACTGTAGACTGTTGTGGGTGCAACTTACCTTTTAACTTTCTCAAGAAATTTTGACGTTAACTGACGGTTTCTATTCATTCGTTTGGCTATGGCGTGTAGCTTGAAGCAAACAAGGCTGAAACGTCAACGCTGCTCGTCAATAATCTGTACAAATGAAAAAAATGAAGAAGACAAACTGTCCTATATCGCATACCGAAAATACTCAGTCATTTTTTTTCTTTTGCTAATTGCTAGTTGATAGCGATACCTGAAACTTCGAGATGTTTCACTTTATTGAACTACAGCAGTATTTCTTTCAGATCACTAGCTTCAGCTTTTCAATCAATAGGTGAATCGTTGGCTTATTTTGTCTAAAACTCCTTTTTAGTAAGATTATGTGGCAATCCCTTTTGAAGTCTTAAATTTACATGAACATAAATGGTGATGTTCTCACCAGAATTGTATTATAGAGGCAGCAATATTTCGAAGCTTGTTCTTGCATTCTTGTTTACTTTTTTCCTCCATCATAAGCGTCAGGCCTAAAAATATTGTTTAATGGTGTGGATAAATGGATGCCTCGTCTTCGGAAGAAATCACATGGCCGCTACTTCCATTCGAGCGGTAAATATTTTGAACGCTTCTCATGTCGTCACCAAATCCATTCTCCGAATGCTGTAAGATGAATGCAAGTTTTCAGGTTACGACTTTTGTAGCAGAATACAGGCAATGTCTGACATTGGTGTACTGTTAACCAAGCTACAATTGTCGATTTTCTTCTCAGCCTGCATGATCCTTTTGGATTGAGAAGGCACCCAATGTGGATCGTATTTTGACACCTACTACGATGAAGCACTCAACCAGAGAGGAGAATGCATATAAATAAGAAGAAATGGTGAAGAAATTCACGAAAGAAAATTAGAAGTTGTGGAATCTCTAACCTACGGATATTTGAGTTGAAGCAGCCACAAATGTGCAATAAGCGAGAAATCCCAGAAAGCACACGACGATCTTTGATGACGATTGTGATGGCACAATATCACCATACCTTGCAAGAGTTTCTTTCTTAATCAACGCACTTCATAATATAGTTTATACATGCATACATCCCACACACTGGGAATCTAATGATGAAAGCAAAAAAACCGCCTTTCTGCTTAACATTCTCGATTCCACGACGCTTCAAGCAAGTGATAAAAAGGATGTGAACAACGATCAGGTCACTAGAGATCTAGTACACTGTTATAAAAGCAAAAATGGCAAACACCAAATTTTTTGTGGTACATCTGCTTAAGACTAGAGTTGTGCACAGAAATGGAATTAACGAGCCGTTGCTCAGATTTCTTTACCAGAATTCTCAACAGATAAAAATGTACTGCTCTTTGTGTCATTTGAGTAGAGAAGCGCATAGGGTGACTCAATCATGCGACTCGGACAAGTAAAAGCAGCCTACTCGAGTAGCTCTGATGAAGGGAGAACTGATTATACAGATGATTTATTCAGCACCTCACCTGCAGTGGCATGTGATAAAAACTCGTTGAATGGACAAAGGTGGTCCAAAAAAGAGTTGGAAGACTTGTGGAGTTTTCTTAATTATGAAAAATAGTCATAATCCAAAAATTGGGTTAGTAATAGCTAAAATTTTTAGTTGGAATTCACTGGCCCACTTGATGCTAGAACGGTCCGTCCTCACTGATTGTACGGACCCCGGCACAGTCTCCATTTTTCGGAGTATTGCTGCTTTAGCCATTGTATTTCGAAACCGACCTTCCCTAAACCTCGGTGTGACTAATCAATATGTATTCTTTCTTGATAAGCTTGCACGAGGTTGATAAATATATTTATTTTCGGCTAACGTTTCGACGTCTTCGTCTTCCTCAGAGCCGGTGATCCGAGTCGATGGTCCATGCTTGTTGTTCGCCTCGACGTTGCGTCTTCGCCTTCGTGTCGAGCCAGGTCTTCCTCAGTGATCCATCTTCTCGAATGAGGCATCCTCACTCAGTGATGCCCTTTTATACACGATGCTGATGGTGGATATATAATGATAATATATATAAGTATAATATATATAATATATATAATTATATATAATATATAATGATATAAGGAAGAAATACAGGTTGTTACCACCGGACATTATCATTATATATCCACCATCAGCATCGTGTATAAAAGGGCATCACTGAGTGAGGATGCCTCATTCGAGAAGATGGCTCGCTGAGGAAGATCTGGCTCGACAGGAAGGCGAAGACGCAACGTCGAGGCGAACAACAAGCATGGACCATCGACTCGGATCACCGGCTCTGAGGAAGACGAAGACGTCGAAACGTTAGCCGAAAATAAATATATTTACCAACCTCGTGCAAGCTTATCAAGAAAGAATNACAGGTTGTTACCACCGGACATTATCATTATATATCCACCATCAGCATCGTGTATAAAAGGGCATCACTGAGTGAGGATGCCTCATTCGAGAAGATGGCTCGCTGAGGAAGATCTGGCTCGACAGGAAGGCGAAGACGCAACGTCGAGGCGAACAACAAGCATGGACCATCGACTCGGATCACCGGCTCTGAGGAAGACGAAGACGTCGAAACGTTAGCCGAAAATAAATATATTTACCAACCTCGTGCAAGCTTATCAAGAAAGAATACATATTGATTAGCCATTGTAGTTCTCTAAAATCCCGAGGTCAGCCTGGCCAAAGTTTGCCCCAGGTTTTCATTGCCACAGACAGCCGCAGCCCTTGTGGATTAGTGGGAGATTTGTCACCATGCGAATTTGATACCAAGACGGTAGTGGATCCTGGTATCAGAACTTCCGCACGTAACATCACGGCTCTGAGGAAGGCGAACTCATCGAAACGTCAGCCATCGATCAATAACATCAAAAACAACGACAACGACAACGAAGATCTGCACCAACCTCGCGTCAGCTTAAGAAGATCAGTTTATAAGATCACATAAAAAATACGTTTATTATAGTTTATAAATTTATTGTCTTTGGCATTAACATGGCGCCGTATAGTTCTTTTCGTTCTTCAAACGCTTTTTTCCAGGTCATCCTTGCACCATTCGTTTAGAAAATAGCGACAACCCAAAAGTTCTCTTACTACATTGAACTATGAGAAATGAGGATGCCTAATTCTGAAAACTGACACTCATTCAACTTTTCTATTCTATAATAACTATATTTCTGCTTGCTAGCTTAACAGAATAAGGACAAATACTTGATTAAAAATATTAGTACTAACAATAACAATCATGCGCCAGTTAGTATAGTAAATATAATATTTGAACATTTGCTATTTTATTTTGAAAAATCGTACCCAATTGTTGGTATCGTGATCACTGTGAACCACCAAGCGTGGGCGAGAGTGGAAAACGCTTCGGATTCTAAAAGAAAATTTGCATATGCATAAATAGACATGTACCCAAATATATATATGCATATACACCCGTATATATATACGCATAGGATAGACATGTACCTACATATATGTATGCATATACATTCGTATATATATATATATATATATATATATATATATATACGTATAGGAGTAATGTTATGATGACATACTTCGTATTTCTGACGTGTTCTGTGGCAGAAAAAAGACGAGACCCTCGTTTTCAGCGATAAATATAAGATTCACCATAAGTAGGCATAAAACAAAGGTAATGTAATATGTGGCAAATAATTCCCACCTAAAATATGTATTATTGACCAAAGGGATTCCAATATCCAACCTAAAAGTAGCTTGTTGGTTCTATATTCAAAGAAAAAAAACGAAGTTGGAACAAATCTAATATGATTTCTTACTTACTTTTCAAATTTTTTCTTCTATACAACAAATAAAAACAAAAACAATTAAACTAAAAAGGATGATACGGTAGACAGGTAGACATGGATACAGGTCCTTGATTAGCGCAGAATAAATGATGGCGAAGACAAAATGAGATTATGACAAGGATTTGCGAAGCTTTTCGCACGCTAGTTCGATGCAGTACTCTGTACAAGCTGACGTTTCGGCAGATTTCGCCTTCCTCACAGCCTGGAAGGGTCAAGTTGACAGCAACCTATTCGGCCAAACAGCTCCATAACCAAACAGAGGAAACGCCAAACCAAGATTTCAATCACATTTAGCATAGCTCTGCACACTCACCGCTTTCTATGAGTCTTCCACTGAGTATGTCGCCTGAAGAGCGACCGCACAGAATTCACATGGAGGCGTAATGTGTCCCTCCCATCAGAATAACAGGTTTATATACTGTTCAATATCACGCGTGATAACGAGGCACTCTACCCTGCGGTTCATTTTCAGATTTCTGGAATTAATCCAAAACGCCTCGAGAGTTTTTGCGCCTTGTGTTCTTGATTCCTGTGCGAAGATCGTGACACGAGCTTCAAAGTCCTCTCCGTTATGTCTCTGGGTCCTATGCGTGCCTAGGGGTATTTGGTTTATGTTTGCCGGCTAGGCGTTCCTTTATCCGGAAACAGAGGAGTCTGCTCGTTTCGCCAATGTATTCTTCTTCGCACCTCTTACAGGAGAACAGATAAACTATACCCGAGCTCATGCAATCACCGTCTCTAGCACTGAAGCAAATTATGCAATTTTGTGTTGCATATAAACGGTCACATAGGCGGTTACGAACTAGCTGGCGCCTAAGATTACTCGGTGGTATTCCAACTACGTTTACCGAATTCTCTAGACCCTCCCTTCTTAAACAGTGTTTTACAGCTGCACTTACATCATTTGAGTTGAAGGATTGGATAAACGGGACCTTTTTATCGCTGAAATTGTCGTTTAGGAGCTTCTGATTTTTCCAACACCTATCCCGAGCTGCAGATTCGTAGCCATTGGAAATGGCTATTTGCCGCGTCAAGTTCCTGGACTCCTCTCTCTGCTCTCTTCCCGTGCACACGCTGGTTGCTGTTCGAAACATGTTTCTTACAAGCGCTCTTTTCGTGTGAGAGGGGTGAGAAGAGAGGTAATGTACCAAGATGCTTTTGCTACTTGGTTTTCGGTACCACTTCGTAATGTAGCCATTTTCTGCCCTCAAATAAGAGGGTTGGCAATGGGACAGCGACTGGCACTAAGTCTTGCCATTGCGTTTATATTCAAGGTGGAAGCACCGGTGATTAATCTCGGGCCGCTACTCTACTGTAGATGCATAGATGAGTGCTTTGTCCTTTGCTCAACCCAAGAGGAAATTGACAAATGCTTCAAGTTATTAAATGCACAGTCAGAGTATATCAAGTTCACCCGAGAGATGCCGGAAGAAAAATGGCTTCCACTTCTGAACATCCAAATTAACCTGCCAGAAAATGGCTACATTACGAAGTACGAATTACAGACTCCTCTGTGTCCTCATAAAGGAACGCCTAGCCGGCAAACATAAACCAAATACCCCGCTAGGTACGCATAGGACCCAGAGACATAACGGGGAGGACTTTGAAGAACGTGTCAGGATCCTCGTACAGGAATCAAGAACACAAGCGCGCAAAACTCTCGAGGCGTTCTGGATAAATTCCAGAAAACCGAAAACGAACCGCAGGGAAGAATGACTCATTATCACGCGTGATATTGGACAGTATATAAACCTGTTATTCTGATGGGAGGGGCACATTACGCTTCCATGTGAATTCTGTACGGTTGGTCTTCACGCGACATACTCAGTGGAAGACTCATAGAAAGCGGTGAGTGTTCAAAGCTGTGTTAAATGTGATTAAAATCTTGGTTCAGCGTTTTCTCTGTTTGGTTAAGGTGGTGTTTGGCAGAATAGGTTGCTGTCAACTTGACCTTTCCAGGCTCTGAGGAACGCGAAATTCGCTGAAACGTTAGCTTATACGTTAATAAAGAAATAAAATAGCACTTCGTGTTTGCTGAACAGAAGTGGAAAGAATTGTTCAATCAATGCCGAGGTTAATAGAAAGTCGGAAGTGGCAGTACTCTGTGATCACGAAGCCTTCATTCTGTCCGTGGTAGGGAAATTGGTACCGGACATTTACTGAAGACAGAAACACTGACTTCAGACATCTGACAGGCTTCCACAGGTTATCGTATAGGCCAGATATGCATTTAATGGCCTCTACAATGCTATGAATGGATTCGAATGCATGGGGCATGCCCACGGGTTAGTCGGCGCCGAGAACTTTGTCATCTATTTTCATATCGATAAAAGAGGAAGCATTCAGACCGATATATAAAGGAACAAATCTGAGCTATTTAATATTAAGCTCAACAATCTTCTTTTGTGGAGTTCTCGAAATTTAACCATAACGATGCTGAGATATTCGCAAAACTAGGAGCCCGGCCAGATCGAACCCTGATTACTGTTTCGGGTGTTTCGCCGTCTGCAAACCGGGTAATCATCGCGCTAATAGATGACTGCTGATGGCAGGGTCAGGTAGAATATTAGCTAAAAGAAACGCAAAGTAAGGGCCTCAATGGTGCAGTATGTAAATGAAAAACATCGGAAAGGGAAGCTGTGGTTCGATCTGACCCTGCGTCCAAATTTTGTAAATATCTCAGCATCGTCGTGGCTTTAATTCACATCATACCCTGCCGCGGAAAATTATAGTAGGCAGCAAATAAAAAGTTGACATTCTGACGTTGGAATTTAATTGATTTTCGATTGTTATCCTTTAATAAATGGGGAAATGAAAACACCGTAAGGCTGAAGACATGGTAAATAAAAAAATCACTTGCTCAACACAACCATATCCTTTATGAGATGCCATGTTGTCATTTGTCGATCAATGTGGAAAAGTCGAAGCATCTGTTGTATGAAATGTTTTTTAGTGACTGCAGAAGTTTCTACCCGAAAACTGATTTTTTTTTTTCGTTTGATGTTCAACGAATATACCTGTACAAATCTCAGATAGTCGACGGTATCTTCAGATATATAAGTTCTATCCAAATACAATATTGCTATGGTTACTAGTATTATGATCACATCGATAACGCAAACAAAATTTGTAAGATACTGTAGTCGACCTGGAATCAAAGACGTTTTGATTTGACGAAGAAGACTCTCAAAGAAGCAAAGCGCAGCTCCGGCAAATCTCGTTATGACATAATCTAAATACGCCATGGTCGTGTTTTAGAAGAAAGATTGGTCCTAAGGCAATAAAAAATTGGTTCCAGTAAATAAAGGATGCCAACAGCTACCGATTTTTACCAAGTGGTTTATCATGTCACTGCGATTAGGAGGCGTTCATGGGTGTCGAACTCGGATGGGTGGCTAGAATTTGACTACAGTCTTAAATGTCTAGAATTGAGACTGTGCTTAACAGTCCTATTCCAAATTTAGAAAAGTTGGACCGATATAGCTCAGTGGTTAGAGGTGTCCTGCAATACACAGGTGGCTGATGTTTCGACTCCGCCTCCTGAGTTCGTCAAGTCTTCCATCCCTCCAAGATCAGAAAATTGCTGCCAGAGTTCTCTAGAAGGACGAAAACATTGACTTTATAATTCCCAACACCGACTTTCTACTTGCTTTGGCAGTGATAAATAATAATCTATTTTCTTGATAGACACACATGAGGTTGTTAATTTTCACTATTTAATCGCAACGGCTGACCTTTCGGCTGTTTGCGCCCTCTTCAGAGCTTGGAAAGGTCAAGTTAACAGCACCCAGTCGAGCGAACACCTCCATAGCCATAATAAAAAAAACTGCAATATCTAATTTCCAATCGGATTGTGTATAAAGCGGCCTCCGAGCTTTTCACACACTCACCGCTCTCTATGAGTCTTCTATTGAGTATTCCACTTGGGGACCAACGGTGCAAAGCCCACATGGATAGGTAATAACCTTCACTCACGTTAAAATACAAAACAGATATTGCGTGAAATCTTGCGTGATCATAACTTAGGTACTCCTCGTGATCCACTTTTGGATTTTTGGAATTTATTCGGAATGTTTTGAAGTTTTACGAGCTGATGTTTTAGGTTCCCATGATCATGGTTATTTTTACAACAAAACCTCCGTTGTATGTGTGCGTAGTGGCGTATTTTGGTTCACTTCGCTCTTAGCGTCTAAATGTTTTTTTTTGAAATACAGACACAGTGATCAACCCGTTTCGGCAATAAATTTATGCCCGCACTCTTCATGAGATACGACGTACATCGTGTCCGAACTCATGCATCGCTGCCTCTACCATGGGCCAAATCATTCACTCGTGCGCTTCGCATGGACGATCATATAAAGAGTTACAAACAGGCCAATATCTTAAACCATTCGGTGGTACTTCAACCACTGTTTCTCGAAACCAACCCTTTTTAAGTAACATTTTATTACTGTACTTATTTCCTTGGAAATAAAAGAGGTGAGAGATGGGACCGTACTCTTGCTAGACTTATCGTTTGGTAGTGCGATTCTTTCTCGAAATATGAGGAGCTACAGCTTTGTAGCCATGGTATGTCGCTACTCGTCGCGCCAATTTCAGCGCTTCTTCCTTCTGCTCTCTTCCTGTGCACACACCGGTGGCTATTCTAAACATGCTTCATCGTTCCATAGTTGACACCTTTCATCGGTTGGTTATCAAAATTCATTTTATTGACTAGATATGCATCCATTAGCCTTTAACGATGCTTGATGAAGTAAAATGTATGGTTCACGCTTCAACCCCTCATGAAATGATCAACCTCGAAAGCTTTATCTCTTTGTTCGGAAAGCCAGATAACAGTAAACCAATGCTAGGCATGTCCCACCCCTTCTATTGGATGAAGTCTCTTTTCAAGTTGGAAAGTCTCTGTCCGACAAGGAAAGCATCGTGCTGGTAATCTATAAAAACCATGGAAGCACTGTTTTAGGATTTCAGTAAGAGAAACGTTTCTACTCAAAAAGAATTTGTTCAGAGGTCCACATAATTCGTCATAAAGAGGGAACATACAATTATTAGAAGATAGCACTTAAACGTGAACCCTTTGAAACAGTGTTGACAGTATTACTATAAAAAAGCGGCAGATCGATACGTATGTTTTCTTCTGCTGCTTTAGGTCACATCATTGTGTTCGAATGTTTTCTTATCTCTTACCTCTGCACGTAGTATATCTCGCATCGGCTGATATGCACCACATACGCACAGCAAATTCGCAAATAAAGAAAACCGCCAACGTAACCTCCAAATAGAAGTGAACACCTAAAAAAATCTAAGGAAATTTTTGAACAGTGGAAAAAAAAGGGTCAAAGCCACACCGCTAAGAAATGGATCATGCCGTGAATTAGCTGCACCCAGTACCACAGCCAGAAGTACTATACCGAAGGTACCTAAAACTTAAACAACTGTCTTTTTTTCGTAAGATCTTTGCATTTTCAATTACTACAAAGACTTCTAAACACTGTTTTAAACGTCCTTCTATGTAGTTGGACATTTACTACTTGGTCTCATTCTCACTGGAATAGATATTTGTAAAAATCAAACACTCCTATCACAAAATTTCTCGACTTACTTTTTTTGTTCGAAATAGTTATCTAAGGTTTGTTCATCTTCTATAATGATATAATAAATAAAATTAGGAACTATATACAAGTGACGCCTTCATCTCGCATCGAATCGGATCATATAGAAGATGTATGGATGATATCTATACAGAAGAATACTTACTTGATTTGTTACTTGAACGGCCCGCCATCACTAGTTGTGCGGGCCCCAGCATAATCACCATTTTTCGGAGATTTGCTGGTTAAGCCATTGTGGTTCCTTGGAATCCCGAGGACAGCCTTGCCAAAGTCTACCCCAGCTCCTCACCACGACAGGCAGTCGAAGCCCTTATGGATCAGAGGAAATATATATATATATTTATAGATATACATAGATATGTATATCTAAATAGAAGTTAGTATTATTAAGAAGAAGGGAATTTCTATTCTTTTCAGGAGTTCAAAGTTCGCCAAACATTGTCAATACGTTCGCACATGTTTTTTGTAGATGTTAAGAGTTCAGGACAGAGAACGTATGATTTATATTAAAAACAATCATTTCATTCAAAAATAATACTATGACTCTTCGAAAACTGGATTATTTTCACTCTTACATACCGTGGTTATGTCAAATACTAATACGGTTGAGTGATCATCATTCTCTTTCATCTTTTCCCGACTTTTATTCGTTGGACTCATAGGATATATAGAAAGGGAAAATGTAGAATGTAAAGATGAACACACCAAAATGATACCATGTACTGTTGGCTTTCAGTGGATGATCCAGAAAATCGTAGGTACGGAAACGAAAACGTCGAATAAGTCGCACTCGATTATTTAGCTATAAGTATCCGTATTCCTGAATATTCTGGAAGAATTCACTTCATCATCGTGTTCCATATTACCTGGATTGTGTCTCGAGTTGCTGTGGATAGTCGATTGTGTTCATGATAACGTTCTGGCGATGACATCTCTTCAGTTGATCATCAAACACTAGACGTTTAGTAGATAGGCTATGATTGTAAAGATATTAAGTAATTTTTAAGGGTTTCAAGCTCAACTAAGTGCTGTTTTCGGATTCCAGTTCAAAAATTATAGGAGCCTGTCAGCGGTTTGCTGTCTCATCACAGCAAGGTTGTCACTGGGTGTCGAACTACGATATACAGCTGTTCACCTTGGTAATAGCTTCCTACGAAATGAGAGCGAATTTGACCAATCTAGTAACAGCATAAACACAAACACGTAAGAGATGTTAACTAGAAAAAAACCTTTCCACGGATTTTGTGACTTCATGGGAAGAAAATCTTGCTGTAACACAAATTTACCAGTTAAATGGTAATTGTGCTGGAAGCCGCACGATTCATTGTGGTTCGTCATGATGGTTCAATGACGAATTCGAGTATTTAAGTACACTTTATAAAAGAGGGTGAGGCTTTTTAAAAATATAAGCAGCGGAAAACTGTCTCTGGTACCCTGAAACTATAGGTGAAAGCACGACGCGGTCAACGAACGTTAGATGAATACTAAAAATCGATAATGAATAGCAATCACTATTGTGGCAATTTGTTGTGAATTCGTTATGTCCGTACAGATGGAAGGCGAATGTCATATAGACACTGAAGAAGAACGAAAAAAACGCTACACATGAAAACCCTGCAGCACTTTCTATTTAAGATGTAGATGCTCAACGTTTTCGTAGAAGGAATGTAATAAGAATGCGATTCATTATATTAATACTTTCTGACAGCCAACGAATTTCCGCTACTACTAGTAGGAAGCTCTGCTATGGTGAGTGATGTTTGGGATTTGTGACTGTGAAAAGCATGTGTCTCCGAGGAAAGCTCATGAAGCGAATCACAATGAAGTGCAGAAAATTGAGACCTTATTGAAAATCTGGTCACTACATGGTTTCCTAAGAATTCCTGAGCTTACAACGCGTTTTATGGGAGTTGAAATTATTCTGATCTCAAATTTTATTCAGCGTCAACGAGGAATGTTTGCATCTGTCTGGTTAATGAACATCATCAAAATCGGTTTGCTCTCGTTCAGAGCGTTCATGTACTGCTACAATTCTCATGGTATCAATGGAATAATGTGAAATCATCAATGTTACTGAATACGTCACCAGAATTCGAATTGGCAGTGTATACGATTTGCGCTCTCACTGGAGGCAAGGTACAGATTATTTATTAATTAGAAGACTCAAATTTATTATCGATTAATCCTCAGCTAGTAGATCAAAAAATATGTGAAGAAAAGTGATAGTTGCGTCTTAAACTACCGGCATTCTAGCATTATCGATATCACGCGATTTCTCCTCTTCCAATCCCTCTTCGATATCGTGTTTGTTCTACCGAATCCATATCATGCGAATCAAATAACTATTTATTTTGTGTGCGGACTTTTTTGTTGTTTTAAATAAATTTAAGCTCTGTTTTAATCGTAGACCAACCACCTATCGAAATATAAGTAGTCTTTTATGATATATCAAGGTTCACTATAATTTTATTGACTAGGTTAGAGTTATGGGGCACATGTAGCGCAGTGGACGGGAGCACCCTGCAATGAACATTGGATTGATCCCTATGCCCAAGGTTCACCAAGCCTTCCATCCCTCAGCGGTTGACCAACACCAACAGTTTTCTCCTTTCCTTTATCCTTTAGATTAAAGTAATATCACTGTTAGATTTACATTGTCAAAACATAACATAACATAACCTCTAATTAAATTGCTTATTATGAACCATTTAAACGTTTTTTTCTCATTTCCTCTACATCGAATCATTACAAGGATTTTTTCCTTTTTTCCTTTCTTTTTCCTTAAAACGAAGACGTTGTTTCGTCATTTGGTGCTCCATCAGACAATACCCGAGCCAATTCATGTCTGTAGTTACTTTTATCGAAAAGAAAATATAGTCATCTCTCATTGATGTCATAGCATGATGGTGTTGGCGATAGCGCAGTGACATCGTTGGTAAATAAATGGATTAGCTTCTGAGTTTTGTAACATCTTAAAACGTTTAATCCCTTCCTTTTTCTTTTAGTGTGAAATGACTATCAATGGACATAATGTGACGATTACTGCGAAGACAATTCAAGATAACGGTTCGCTCATGGTTAGTTAACACTTAAATTCACAACCATGTTTAAAAGGAAAAAAACTGAGGCATTTTTCACTTTCATTTGAATACCTCTTACAGATCTAAGATTCGTTAAAAGAAGTTATTAACCTTAAATAAATACAGTATAACCACAAGGATGCTGAAATATGAGCAAAACTTGGAACTTCTTTAGGGCTTCGAACCTCCGACTACTTTTTTCAAGAGCCCACGTGTTATCCACTGCATCAACCGACACCGTTTCTTTGTCTTTCTCTCAGCTTTTTTCTTTTTATTTCTACGTGATACCATCAAGTTGAGACAGTTATTTCGACTACAGCATCGGTTTAACTGCGTTCAATACCGATTTGTGCTCTCCAGATCATTCTCGTTGATAGGTAACTTGCTGATGGCAGCGTTAGGGTAAAATACACGGCTAGAAGAAGGGTAGAGCAAAGGTCTCGGTTGGTGTATCGGATAGCACGTGAGCCTCCGGAAAGAGTAATCGCGTGTTCGAAGCTCACCTGAGATTCAGAGTTCTGCTCATATCTCAGTATCTTTGTGATTCTTTTCACGTTATACCCTGCCATGAAAAACTAATAGGCAGCAAATACATGTTCAAAATGTCTTGCAATACATAGTACAAGCTTTCTTTTGGAACTCATCTACAAGATAAAAGTTTTAGCATCGGTTAGTGATAATTTCTTTAGATTGATCAGTGCTACCCGTCGATATCAAGTTCGATAACAGGAAAGCACCACGGACATTCCAAAAAGAAGCACATGGAAGGCGATCCAGAATTACAGGTACATTCTTCGCGATTTATCATCTACGAATTTTGAAACTATCCTTGTAAAAACTAAAGAGCTGATATTTTCATTGTTGATTTTAGTCGCTTTTTTATCTATTCCTCGGAGAGGAACTAAAACTTGTTTCAAGCGAAAAATTTAGATTATAGGTGATATTTCATTGTTATCACCAAAGTCTTCATTATTAAATAGATGGTACTTTACATATCTCTTCCTATACCTTTCCTCTCCTCTCTATTGCAATCTCTCATTGTTTTCCTTAGGAGATTTCTATTATTTTACTTTTCACCTTCCTTATTATCTACAGAGCGCTTGTGGCAGAGTGGTCGGATGTGTCCTACAAGACACACGTAGAATCGTTCCTCGCACCCATGGCCCACCAAACTTTTCATCTCTCTGGGGTCGGCAAATTGGTACCAGACTTGTCTGGGAGAAAGCAGCACTGACGCGATACATTGGTCGGCAACTGTGAGTCATTGTAAAGGCCAGATATGCAATCACTCAACTCCAACGATGCTCATTGAGGTCGAATGCATGGTGCATCCCTCAGATATTGATCAACGGCGAGAGCTTTATCCTTTAACCTTTTACTACCTACACTTGAATCCAAATTATTTAAAATAGGTCTAACTAATCAGCTAATGAGTAAAAATTTCATTACTTTATTACATGAGCCAATTTTTACTTTCTCTGGCTAAAGTTCGCTTTTAATTTTCAAACAATTTCTTACATTTCATAAAGTTCAGGCTCTCGTAGACGAAATGCGTGCCAGAGATGTCGACAAAGCCAATGCAGACGATTACACACTTTCTTGGGGCAAGGAAGAAACCGATGAACCTGATGATGTCCCGTAAGCAATATTCTTTTTACCTTGCAGATGAAGTAAATCGCGGTCTCAAAAATTTTTTCTATTTCCTTATTTGAACAGCTCATACTTAATTTTTATTAGGCTCTTTACCTACGTCAATGAGACATTATTTCAACGATCTGTTTACTCTACGTTGATTACGGTATTTCAAGAGGAACTCTTCACACCGGAGGTCAGTAAACTAATAAACTGAGGCTATAGAATCAATTTTTTCACCAAAAAACTTGAGTTTTTCTTACGTCTTCCTTAAATAAATTGCAAAGTCGTGGATTGCACCAGTTAAGGTGTGCTCAGATGAACCCGAAATGACGGGATTCCGTAAAGCACAACTTCAACAAGTATTCAATACCTGGACGAACACATCTGTCTTCAATCTTGCTTTTAATTATCTACAACAGAAAGGTTTATTATTTCAGCTGACTTTATGTAAAAATTCGAAAAACTTTCTTCCAGGATATGAACATGCCCACAACATCGATGCCCTGAAGGAATTCCTTTGGAACTTGTGGTTTGGAACATACTCACGATGCGATGGACCTCTTGGAAGTTCTGGTAAGTACCACAGAAAAATGTAGTTTCTAGACTCGGTCAACATTAGGTCATTATCATCGCAAAGCAAATCATAAGAACTCCTTTTGATCACTTTAGACAAAAACGTATGAAATATATATTGGCACAAAAAAATTCTTCAAATTTTCCGGTTATCTTTCGTGAGAAAGAAAAGCGTCTTCAGCAACTGAACTCTGGGTCAATGCATGGAACGACTAAGGACATAACGAGAAAATTGTTTGCAAAACGCTGCGAATAGTCATTCATCCATATCTTGTTCCTATACTTCAAACACCTTAAAACTATTTCTGAGAAGCAAATACCACCACTGTAGTAGACCTATTATACAACATTACCCTCATACTAACACATAGTTTATCCCTGTTAAGGATGGGAACATGTTTTCATAGGAGAGTGGAAGGACAGGATAGTTGATGGGCAGCACAACTGGCAAAGGTACTACCTGCTTCAAAAATCTAACCTCATTCAGTATTACGGCTACTACTCACATGTTGCGGTAAGTACATTTTATCCAATTGCAGTTCAAAGATCTTCTCCGTTGAAGGCTTATTAGTCGCTTAGTAGCATAGCTACGTTGATAGTTTTCATGCGGGAGATAGAAATTAAATACTGAGCAAAAGCGACGCTGTAATTGCTTTGTGACGCAGGTGCGGTATGGTGTCATATTAGCTCTCAAAGACATCGACAACTCCGCACTACGTGTAGTTCACTTAGAAAGGCAGCACAATGAACGATTTCGCTACAGAAGGCGGCAGGAGTCGAGCAAAGTTTACAAGAGAATCGAGTATATATTAAGGACTGTTTCGGACCCATCCCTTATACTATACGATCTGTCGTGCTTTAGGATACTCCTTGAAAGGCTGCATTCCACGTAAGCAAGATGGAAAAGCGTTAAGCGTTAAAGGAAGACGCTGTCGTGATGGCATCAATAGGAGTATGCTATATTGCTCGACAGAAAGAAAAAGTGCAAAGTTCCTATCTACCTCTACGACCAAATGTCAGATGCCCTGCTGCAGACAGAGCATCAAGAACTGGATGATTTATCTAAGAGATGGAAAAACTTGATGTGTGTGAAGCATCTCTGTTTAAGAAAAGAGTCATTGGCGACTCGTTTCCACAAGATGCCGGGAACGCAGGCGGAAGTCCGACAACTCAATAATCATAGTTCTTAGCAGAGATCTCAGAAATACCACATTTTCGTATCTCTCAATTGTGCAGAACATAGTAGAAATTCTGGCACGCGACAAAGACCACTGAATTGAATTGTATAGTCATGAACACATGAAGCCTGACGCAGATAATCTCTTCATAGCATTTTTAATGAAGTAAACACAGTGTTTAATGGACATATTTACGCTCAGCACTGAAAGTGATGCGCGCTGTCTTCAGCATTGATGATGAAGTTGAGGAAATTTTGATTTCATTCATATTTAATTCACTTTACAATGTTGAGCAAGACTTCTGACTAAGCAGTTGACAGCAAGTCGCGTGAAAATTCTAGCGGGAACGGGAATTCTTCTCAACACGTAGATATGCAAATACTTTATTACCAGAACTGTAACAGAAAGCGTCTGAGTTGAAAAATTGTTATCCGAAAAATTCTCAAATCGTTAGACGTTTTCCCTTATTTGAGAAGCACGCAATGAGAACTGAATATTAACTATAAAAAAAAAGAAAAAACCAGCAAACAACTTCATACTACATATTGTTTCTTTCGTATATCAACTACGTTCTTTAAGAGCTTTGTATTCACCATTGTTAAACATGCAAGTAATCCTTAAGAGATTAACACTAGCACATGTGTCTCGCATTCGGTTAGGTCGCTCATAATTCTTGTTAGTTTTCAGAATCTCACCGGCACATTCAAATACAAGTGGGATAGCGAAATGAAGCGAAAAGGTGGATTTCTTATAGGAACCTCACCAGGTTGGCTGTTAGGATTGCTAGAACTGTCTTCTACTCAAGTTTTGAGTGTTGTTCTTCAAAAGAAGACCAAGTATATATCACTTAAAACGAGACGAAAATTCGTTGATTTCAGCATTCGACTTCTCATTGTTGACTGTATGTGCTCTCGTTCACCCGGGAGAAAATGGATGTCACTACAGCATCGACGGTCATCCACTTGACATTACATCGTATACTCAACCATGTGGTGCTGGAACATGCCTATCCACAGCCTATCCCACAAACTAAATCATAAAATGACTGGGTGCACATAAACTCATTTGAAAATATAACCAACAATTCGCCTTATATCATCCTCCACAAACCGTGAACGTCTGGAAAATCATGTGCCCAAGTCTACAATAAATAAGTGGAGTGAACAACAAATGTTCAATAAAACACATTTATCCGGGAATATTGCGAATGATCATTACTCGAAAACAAGACATTATTACAAACACTATACACTCACAAAGTAAACGAAATTTCGTTAATACACGAAACAATAGATCATTACTGCGGCATTTAATAGCCGTACCTGTACAAATTCGTTTGCTAACACCTGATAGAATACCGTGGGCCAAAGTCAAAGAGTAATCAATTCAAAAAAAGAAGGTTAACTCCCCAATCTTATGAAGATAATAAACATTCCCGAAATAATAGCCCAAGAAACTCATGCAGCACCATAGATTAGGGAAACCGCTAGATGACTGAAACAATAAAGGGCGAAAGACTGAAAAGAAGGATTAAGCACTGAATTTTGGTCATCAAATTCTAGATATATCTCGCTCCTTATCAGAAAAAGGTGGTCCAGTTGTTTGGTTGTCAATCTGTATAAAAACTGCAAATATATCTAATCAAAAAAGAATGAGATTGCAGATGTAAAAGACTGAGTGCTGGGATTTAACACCACCCTGCATGAAGGCCAAACACATAAAACATTATACGAATTGCTACGAACAGTGATAACACTCGACAATTCATAATGATGTATTGACGAACACGTTTACATCCTTATTTTCATGTTACTCACGATGTTGCTCATGGACCACGAGACACTGAGGTTGTATCACGATTCAACGGTACCATTTCCACTGAAGGACCCTAAGAAAACCAAAGTTAATTTCTCCTACATTACATACATAAATGCATACATTATATATATATATGCATATATATGTGCATATATATATATATCCTCTCAACAGTTTACCACCTCATCGTGGTTGGGAGGTGTTCTTGAGTGCCATGCTGAGATGTACAGCGAGGAGATTCATCCCCCTGGGAGAGTCTCTCTGCCGATTTGGGCTCCTCAGATCAATCCCGTTGACGGGTGACTGCTGATGGCACTGATGATAGAACTGAGAGACAGGCGAAACGAAGGACCCGCATGGTGTGGTGGTGAACGCGTCAGTCCGTGGAAAGGGTAACAGCTCGTTCGTTCCCCACCGCAGACAGCTGCGGTCCGGAGTTTTGCAAATATCTCAACATCACTGTGGTCATATATACATATATATATGTA